CAATCAGGGGCTTGAACTGGAATTGAAAGCAGAGGTGCAGGTGGCTTTGAGAATCCAGGTCTTAGAGAGCAAGGCCTCTTGCACCCCGAAGCAAAATACAATGTCAAAGCACAAGGTCACACTCTGTTCTAATTACAGCAGCATAAATCTACAGCATCAATCTATTACACCAGTTTAAACAGAAGCAGATTTTGAATCACAGCCTGTATAGATGATAGAGAAAGGATTATGGATATGCTGTGCTCTACCACATTTCTTACCTACACCCAAGGAAGCACGGGATGGCTGGGAACAAGACACGGCTTCAAGAATCCTTCCCATAACTAATTTAAATTTTAAGGCAATTGACAACCAAAGAAAATATTGGTTACAAGTGCATGCTACTTGTATTGGACACATATGCATACTCTCAATTTGTGTCCACAGGACTGTATAGCTAGAGTGGATGGAACGCATATGACAGAACTGACATTAGGCATATGATCGTACCCAGGAGATTAGTGACCACTGTAAAAATCAGAGGCTACTAAAAATCCTGCTTAGCCAAGTGTGTTTGATGTAGCTGTATGTTTATTAAAACTCACTTTGCAATCAAGAAACAGGAGTTTGTTTCTTAAAGGAAAATATCATACTGAGGAAAATAAAGAAATAGCTTTTACATTGTATAGGTGGCCAAATTACATACTAAGCAGGTGTCCCAGAATTACTTTCAGCCCAAGTACATGTGGTTTTATGGATGATTTTTCTGTAGCAATAATACTACCTAGCACTCATGTAACGTTTTTATCTGTGGCTATTAAAGCACTTGACCCAAAAGCTTAAGGATCATTATCCCCATTTTACAGATCGGGAAACTGAAACGGAAAGAAGTTAAATGATTTGCCCAAGGCCTAAGTCAGAATGACACTCAGTGGGGCAGATTCACCAGAGGGTCCACAGCAGCCTATTCTAGGAGAAGGGGGTGCAATAGTAAAAAGCATCCGCAGTCCCTTCTCTTCAAGAGGTCCCAGAGGAGACCAGTACTCCTTGACACCAAAGGCTACAGTGATTTATCCCAGCTGAGGCTCTGGACCCAGATACTTGGAGGCACCATTTGTTAGTACACTGGCCTTTCACCTCTTTCATAACTTGTTTCAAATCCGGCTCAGGTGGCTAGTTACAATGAGTCTCACCTCAAAATGATCTCTACTGGATGTTTTCTTCACAAAACCATGGAATGACTGGCAGTTGCTACTTAGAAATAGCTCATAACTGCAACAGCAGGAGATGAGGTGTTTCAGGCCAAGAATGAAGCAGCATTTGGCATAGCAATATGAGGAAGCTTTCCATTTAAAAAAAAAACACACATGAATCTGTAGAACAGTTAATGATTTTTGACCCATCCACCCATCCATGTAAATCACTGTAAACTTGAATTGCAAGAAGCACCGTAGCATGGGTGAATACAAATATATAATCTCCTGCCACTTTTAATGCCACTTTTTGTGGTCTCTCTTTGGAATATTGTCTTAGATGCTTGAAAATATAATTTCTTTCATTACTGATTTTGTCCATTTCCATTTGACAAACATGGATTCCTTCTAGCCACTCAGCCCTTTTTTCTAATGAAACAGAAGATAATTTGGTTCTGTTTGGCTTAGCACATGCCAGATGATGTCAGCAAGGGCATACACAGCTCTGGGGATGAGGTTTGTTAGTTAATTTCATTTGCACAGCCAGAAGAGAAACCACTAAACATTTAGCTTAGTGTCCACTTGGAAAACTTGTCTGTAGGTCATACAAACACAGCAACCATCTTTTCTCAAATTCTTCAATAGTTATTTATTGTACAAAGGAAAAACACACCAACAATTACAATGAAATAAAAGGAAATACAAAGATATGTGCCAAGTTTATAATGTCCTCAATATTTTACATTTGTTCACGCTGTATGTTGTAAGAAAACTGAGAGTGAGCCAAAGCACAGAGGATGGAGAAAGAAAGCAAAGGAAATGAGAGAAGGTTGGCTTATAGGTCATAGTATATCAGACATTTGAACCATGCAATCTGGAAACTGTCATAATACAACAATAACATCAGTTTATGGCCCTGATCCTGCATTAAGCTCTATGTGCCATGTGGTGTCTCACTGAAGCTCTGCTTAGATTCAGAGGTCCACTGACAGAATTCAATGCAAAAATCAGAACTTGTATCGCCAGCACTGTTCCCAGTACACACATATTCTTTCATTATCTGTCAGGCAAACATTCTGAAAAGAAAGACGAAGTATCATCCTATTTGTGAGGTTCTTCTTTTCGATACCGTAGGATTTTTTAACACTAGCTGGACTATTTCAGTTCTAGAGGACAACAGACAATAGCCTCACCTGGAAGGGTGCCTCAGACAGATGTTCTATGAGCAGTAGATTGGAAGGACATTCTGGAGTTTTGGCATGCAGTAGAGAAGACTGATTTTGATGAGGTTTTAAAAAACTCCTCTGAGATCATTCTGAAAATCAGCTTATTAAAAATAACTGTTTCTAAACAATGCCTCTTCCTTTGTTCTGTATAACACACTAAGGATATAGCTGGCCATGCAATCTTTAGCACATCGGAAACTCCAATTAGAGAATGCTGTAGTGTCTATCCTCAGCAACACAAGCTACCACAAGCATATCAAACCTGTCCTCTGTTTGCTTCACTGGCTTCCCATAGCATTTCAAATCAAGTTAAAGGTCATGGTCTTTATCTTCAAGGCACCCCAGGACCTGAGCCCAGGCTATCTAAGACTGCCTAAAGCTCCAGGATGAAGACTGGTCAATGATTTTGCTCCTTTGGCACAAGGAACTCTCTATGATAAAGGTAAACTTGACTGTGCAGGAGACAGAACATTTTATGGACCAGTCCGAGAATGTGGAAAGGACTCTCCCAGGAACCAGGGACCATCACAAACCTCACCACCTTTCACTCCAAGTGAAAGGTGCATTTCTTTGACCTTGCCTTCTGTAACATAAAAAAAAAAAATCCAAACCCTATCAAATAGGACATTCCATTGTACATGCTTCTCCCCCGGGGGAGTGGAAGAGAGAACTACATGTAACAGATGTGTTAATGTACTAGTAGAAGGCACTCAGGGATTTGCTTCAGCTGTGCCACTATAGTGCTTCAGCATAGACACTATACATGCTGATTTGAGGGGTTGTGTAGATAATCCACCTCCCTGTGAGGCAGTAGCTAAATTAACAGAAGAATTCTTCCATCGACCTAGTGTTGTCTACACTGAAGGTTAGGTCAGTTTATCTAGTTCACTGAGAGGCCAAAACTGAGAGACACTGAGGTCTGGATTAGTGGGTCTGGGTGAGGCCAATGCCCAAAGCCCCATCCACCTTGGAAGCAGGTTTAACATAACACAGACAATTAATCAGGAGAAGAATGGCCTGGGCTGAATTGTGCCTCCCGTTCCCCCCCAGGTGGCCCCAGCAATTTCACTGAAGCTGCGTGGGAAGAAAGGGCAGACTGTGGCCTGCACATATTGTTCTAAAGAGGGACCCTCAAGCCAAAGTCCAAGAGTAGAAGCAGTACCTGCCTGTCCAGCCTCTGTGCCTCATCACTGCAACCTGGGTCTCAGAGGTGTGCTAAAGTGGCCATGCTGCACTGAACAGACTTTCTGATTTGGGCCTACAGCCTGAGCTGTGTTCACACTGGAAAATGACAAAGCTTAGACCCAAGTCAAAGTAGGACTCAGGCTCTGACTCACCCCCCTAGCAGGGCCCTTATCCCCAGATCCTGAGTGCTTACTCGTCTGAGTCAGACTGATTTGCCTGTGGATGGAAAGAGGACTTGGGCTCAAACCTGAGTGAGCTCCTGGGATTGGGGTGCAGCCAGCTACCACAGCACTAAGACACCCCCAGCTGGCCCCTATCCGCTGACTCCCTGCCCGGCTCTAATTTTATCCTGTAGACGCTTCCCGTGGTGGTTGGGCTCTAGGACCCTCCCCGGGTCTCTGGGCGGCTGCAGGTGTCTAGTGCCGTGGAGCCAGGCAGACCCAGCGCTGTCCCCAGCGCGCTCCGTGCAGGAGGCTCCGCGGAGCTGCCCTGGGGTGGGCACCGCCCTTTGCGCGGCTGCTGGCCGGGCTGGCGGGCGCGCTCCGAGGCCAGCCCGGGCTGAGTGGCGGCTCGCCGGCTCCCGGACCGTTTGTCTGCGCTCGCTCGGCCCCTTTGCACGATGGCCCGGCTGCTCCGAGGGCTCCCCCCGCTGGTGCTGGGGACCCCGGGAGCGGCCGGCGGGCCGGGGCTGCTCACACGGACAGAGGTAGCTGCTGCGGAGCTCGGGGGAAGGCCTGGCGGGGCTCAGGCTGCTCTCGGGGCCGGGCCCGCTCCTCCTGGCTCTCTGCCCCTGCCCTGCCGGCTCCCCCGGGCACAGGCTTCCGTGCAGCTGAGCGCCCGGGCGAGCCCCCCTTAGCTGTGCCCGGGACGGGGCCGCCCGCTCCCTGCCCAGGACGCTGCACCCGCCGGCGCCTGCCCTGAGCGCGGGGGCTGTTCGGTGGTGGCGCCACGTTCCGCCTGCCGGGGGGCTGCTGCTGGGCGCCGCCTTCCCGCCCGCGCGCGGGCCGCCGCGTGCGCTAGGGGGTGCTCAGCGTCCCGTGCCTGGGAGCGGGTCCAGGGGCTTGGCTGAGGGCAAAGGAGTTTCCCCGCTGGAAACTTCTGCTGTCTCCTGTGCCCAGCTGGGCGGGGCTCCAGGGAACTGCTCGAAGCGTTGGAGCCTGGGAGGTGGAACTTCGGCTGGAGCTGACCGCGTGGGCCCCGCCGGCGCTCAGCACCCAGAGCGCCTGGTCAGGCGGTGTCTGGAGGCAGCAGGGAAAATACATGCTCCAGCTTAAGGAACCACAGAAACCTTTCCCGCCGTTCTGCTGCCCGCCCATGTGTCCCTTTAGGCTCTGGGCAGGGCACTCCTGGCCTGTGTTGATCCTGGCCTGCAGGAGATCATTTAGCTCACTGAGTGCCAACAAGGGTGCCATGCGAAATGGTGTTTGTGCTGAACACTCATCTGCCCTGTATCCCATTCCTCGGAGCCTCCTATCTCAAGTCTTTTTAATGACTCTAAAGGCTTTTTTGATGGGTGAATTGCTTGCTAGATCAGGAATCGCTGGGTAAAAGTTAATAGACAATTAAACCTGTGGAGCATGCAATTATGAATATGGCAATGGTCTGTTTTTTCTCATCCCTTATCTGCCCCTGTGTACACTCCTCTTCACCTTAGCTTAGCTTATTGCTGAATTAGTTGGAGAGACATAGTTATCAGGGATGTTCTGAGGTCACTGTTGAACACATAACATCCCTCCCCAAACAATTCATTGCTATCTCATAATATTCTTCATTACTATGGGGCCTCATTGTGATAGGCATTGTACAAATACAGACTAGCAGACAGTCCCTGCCCCAAGGAGTTTACAATCTATCTATCCCACCCCCCTGACCCACTAGAAAGTGAAGAGGGGAAGGGTGACATTTCTGAGATTGCTGCTCCACTAGTCTGTGAATTTTTCAGATCCTAGTTAGTAGTTGTTTAAAATAAAACTTCACAGATTATACACCTGGTACCAAATAGGCTAATATTTGCAATTCTATAACTATAACAGCTTCACTTTGTGAGCAGCTGTGTTAATAACCTATTACTCCCTACCACCAGCATGCGTAGGAGTACTGGTAGTTCAGGCTTTTGTGACTTGGTACTCTGGGCTCCCTGTCCATATCATAGAATCATAGAATATCAGGGTTGGAAGGGACCCCAGAAGGTCATCTAGTCCAACCCCCTGCTCGAAGCAGGACCAATTCCCAGTTAAATCATCCCAGCCAGGGCTTTGTCAAGCCTGACCTTAAAAACCTCTAAGGAAGGAGATTCTACCACCTCCCTAGGTAACGCATTCCAGTGTTTCACCACCCTCTTAGTGAAAAAGTTTTTCCTAATATCCAATCTAAACCTCCCCCACTGCAACTTGAGACCATTACTCCTCGTTCTGTCATCTGCTACCATTGAGAACAGTCTAGAGCCATCCTCTTTGGAACCCCCTTTCAGGTAGTTGAAAGCAGCTATCAAATCCCCCCTCATTCTTCTCTTCTGCAGGCTAAACAATCCCAGCTCCCTCAGCGTCTCCTCATAAGTCATGTGTTCTAGACCCCTAATCATTTTTGTTGCCCTTCGCTGGACTCTCTCCAATTTATCCACATCCTTCTTGTAGTGTGGGGCCCAAAACTGGACACAGTACTCCAGATGAGGCCTCACCAATGTCGAATAGAGGGGAACGATCACGTCCCTCAATCTGCTCGCTATGCCCCTACTTATACATCCCAAAATGCCATTGGTCTTCTTGGCAACAAGGGCACACTGCTGACTCATATCCAGCTTCTCGTCCACTGTCACCCCTAGGTCCTTTTCCGCAGAACTGCTGCCTAGCCATTCGGTCCCTAGTCTGTAGCGGTGCATTGGATTCTTCCATCCTAAGTGCAGGACCCTGCACTTATCCTTATTGAACCTCATCAGATTTCTTTTGGCCCAATCCTCCAATTTGTCTAGGTCCTTCTGTATCCTATCCCTCCCCTCCAGCGTATCTACCACTCCTCCCAGTTTAGTATCATCCGCAAATTTGCTGAGAGTGCAATCCACACCATCCTCCAGATCATTTATGAAGATATTGAACAAAACCGGCCCCAGGACCGACCCTTGGGGCACTCCACTTGATACCGGCTGCCAACTAGACATGGAGCCATTGATCACTACCCGTTGAGCCCGACAATCTAGCCAGCTTTCTACCCACCTTATAGTGCATTCATCCAGCCCATACTTCCTTAACTTGCTGACAAGAATACTGTGGGAGACCGTGTCAAAAGCTTTGCTAAAGTCAAGAAACATATCAATGATGAACCCATGCTCTGATTTCTGCTATCCCTATCCCATTCATTTGTGTGTGTTCTAGCCTATGGATGAGCTCGGGCAGCCACTCCATACATTGTGTGGGATATTTCACCACCATTGCTGACAATGTATCAGTGAGTTCCTCTAGTTCAGTGGTTCTCAACCTATTTACCATTGTGGGCCGCATATATAGCTTTCTATGTGTTATGTTGGCTGCACCCACAGGGCTGGAGCACCCACAGTGAAAAATTAGTGAGTGCTCTGCACCCACTGACAGCCAAGCTCCCGGCCTCACCACCTCCTCCTCCCCAAGCACGCCGCGTCCCCGCTCCTCTGCCTACCTCCTAGCGTTTCCCCCGGCCGCCGCCAAACAGCTGTTTGGTGGTGTGCTGGGAGGGAGAGGGAGGAGCTGGGGAAGAGGCGCAGCCGGAGCAGGGATTTGGGGAAGGGGTTGGAATAGGGACAGGGAGGGGGCAGAGACTTTGGGGAAGGGGTTGGAATGGGGGCTTGGCAGGGCTGGGAAGAGGCGGGGCAGGGCTGCATGGAAGGTGTGGAGTGGGGGCGGGCCCGGGGGCAGAGCGGGAGGTCAAGGACCCAGGGGAAAGCGGGGAAGTCGGTGCCTATGGGCCATGTACGCTGATTGGGCCACAAGTGGCCCACGGTTTGAGAACCATTACTCTAGTCTTTGATGGTCTGTAAATGAGGATAACATCTCTGTTAGCTTTGGCTCTGACTTCTAAGGGTCAAATTATGCCAAACCCTGCATGAACAAATTATGCCAAACCCTGCACCTGGGTGAAGAAGGTGCACCAGCAGAGCAGTGACTAAGGGGCCTCTGTGCTGATCCCAGCCTGAATGGAGGGCCAAGCTTGGGGAGTTCCAAGACAGGGGCTGTGTTACACAGCTCCAGTATCTTTAACGTAAGTGGTGTGTAGGGACTGCAGTCACGGTTCCAGCCCATAGCATAGAGAGCAGGTGTGGAATTTTGCACTGCAACAGCATGCCCTGCTCCTCTGTTGGGTGTGGCAATATTCAGCTCCCAGCCCCACCTTCCTCACCTATATATTACCCACATAAACCTCAAGTTCAGTTGTTTGTGGGCAAAGTGAATTTTCAGCCTGATGTTGAAGTGGACAGTGGCCAACAGATTGTGTTTCAAGATGAGAAAAGCACATATTTTAAATTATATACTCTTTTCTTTTTCCAGTTAAAGATGTGGGGTCTCTGACTAGATATGATGAAACAGCTGTCACCACTGATTGGCAAAAGAAATTGACTCCGAAACAGTTCTATATCATGAGAGAAAAAGGAACTGAAATGGTAAGCACGAGGTCTGATGCCTGTCAAGGAGACGGTACTGGAAATATATCTCATTTTGTTCACGTTTCTGGGCTTAATCCATCCTTTAGCTATTGGGGGTTGGGGAGAAACTTTCTCTGGGGGCTCTTTATCCCCATCTACTGCAGGATTTCTTTCCTCTGAGGCCTCTGGTGCTGGCCTAGATGGGCAACTGGTCTGATCCAATGTGGCAGTTCCTGTGTGCTTGTAAGCTGGTGTGCAGACTTAGCCCTTTCTTTAGGGATTGTTTGAGTTCCAAAAACAAAGCTCAAAACCAAAACAAATAAACTCAAATTACCGGGGAATAATTGCTGGGCCCTTTCCAGCTCCAACCAGAATACACCTTTCCCCTGCGGTTGCCTCCTTTGCACCAGCTTCCTCTTTCCTTTTATAACCCCACCCACAACAGCCATGTAATAGGCTGGAACTGAGTAACCCTTTACATGCCAGACCATGTTCATACCTTGTCACCCTGCTATATTTCATTCTCTAACTGAAAGGCCATATGGTTTAGTTCTATGTCACTAACTTGCCATGTGCCCTTGGACCAAATCATGTAACCTGCGTCTGTTTCCTTAGTTGTAAAATAAGGATAACAATTCTCTACCTCCCAGAGGGGCTATGAGGATTAGTTAGTTGTAGAGTACTTTGAAGTTGTTGAACTCTATATAAGTGACTTGATCTGTGAGGTGCTGCACACTTCATGAGCTTAGAAGGTCGTGACACTGGCTCCACTACCTGGATGATTTACACATTTGATGTTAGACTGTATTCTGGAAGCTTTTGAAGGCAGGGGCAATCTTCACTGTTAATCCAAAGGCATATTCCCCTCGATTTTGTGTGCGTGTTTGTTGTTTGTTCCTCAAAGGCCTCCTGTGAAGCCGTCTGTTTTTTCCCCCTGTTTCAAATCTGACCCTCTACATGTTTGTTCCAGATGTTGAACCTTGAAAGTAGTATGTTAATACTACGTTGGTTTTTAGCCATTTACCGGAATCTATCTGAATAACAGAGATCCAGGAATGTACCATCGTGTATACTGCAATGCCCCATTGTTCAGGTAAGATCTTCAAAATTCCAGCATATATGGCTGTCCTAAGAGCTTCTTAGTATGACAGGCAGTGCAATATATTCTTAACGGGGGGAAAAAATCATAGCCCAGACTATCGAAAAATCCTTTGATGCTAGCATACGAAAAACTGCATGAGATTTCCAAGATGCTGGCAGGGACATGGGTATATATTGGGCCCTGTTCTTAAACACATGAAGATCCCTAATGTCACCTATTATTTACTTGTTTGCTAACAGTGGGCCTGGTACATTACAAGGAAGTAAGAAAACATGATGACCTTCTAAGATGCTTGTGGTGTAATTCAAAACAAACTGGACACACACAGCACCTGGCCCACTGGGGAGAGTTGGAGTTGATGTAACAGGTTGCAGCACATGCAGGGTCGAGCAAAAGCAGTCTGGGCCCAGCCCCTAGGCATATCATAATGCTGTGTGGTCCTTCCCCATCACTTGGAATGGTTGAAACAGAAGGACCTCCTCACTTCATAGAGGCAGGTGCAGTGGCATGGGGCCCATTTCTTCCCCTCCTAGAGGCAGAAGCAGGATCCCTCCTCCTCTTAAGAATGCAGAAAGGGTTCCCTCTGGAGAGAGCAGACACCTCCCACCCACCTCTGTACTTTTCCCGGGGTGTATCTGCTTGAGTGACAGAGCTAGGGCTTCTGCACTCTTCCTCTGCTGCACAGAGGCCTCTGTTGGTTGATATGGGCTGAGCCCTAAAGCAGCAGGTCTTGGAGCTAATACTCCATTGAGATTAATGGAGCAGATCACACCTCTGAGCTATTGTTTTAGGATGTCTGAAGATTCAGGAAGACATGACTTCATTGATTACACTTGTGTCACGTTTTCAACCAGGAGGGCTAGAAACCTACTTTTTTTTAAAAAAAACGGAGGGTCTGATATAGTCACATGACTCCAGAAGCTGGGACCTAGGCATGTCCTATTCTGTTTGTCCTCATCCAGCTCTGAGCATCGGTCATTTTGAAAGGCTTTGCAGAAGTGTGTTTTAAGGAGGGATTTAAATGAAGAGTGAGAAATTATTGGGATAAAACTACAAGGAAAGAAAAATAAATGGGGATCAGTCACTTCTCTGAATAATGGGAGAAGACTGGGACTTGACGCATGGAATTTTATGTTGGAAGAGTTTTAACTTTAGAAAAGATTAATTAGGGCCTTCAATGCAGCCATTGAAGATTCCATCCTACCACAAACACTCATGGATATTTTAATTTCTTTCATATTAAATCCCAAAAAAAGTGACTGGATGATCCTTGTTTTTTAATTTTATTTGTAAGACTGTCAGAGTTATGGATAAACAAATAGAATATATTCTCCCAGAGTGAGCCAAGCTGGTGTTGCTATTGACAACTATTCTAGCTTTGACATGTCTTCACAGGTTTACAGACAAATTGCAGTTCTGATTCTAGATGCTGGAAAGGCATTCAGTAAAGTGAACTGAGAATGTACATTACAGCTGGGAAGAAAGGCAGGTATTATTATTAAAGCCAAACTCTTATATTGCACTTTTCATCAGTAGATCTCACAGCATTTCATAAAGGTTACTATCTTTATCACCATATCCCAGTTGGGGAAACTGAGGCACAGAGCAAGGAAGTGACTTGCCCAGGGTCACGCAGCAGGAAAATAGAAAAGCCAGAAATAGAAACCAGGTCTTCTGAATCCCCACCCAGTGCTGTATCCACTAAGCAACACTACCACTGACTTTAGAGCTAGGCAGGGCTGTTGTGCCCAGGCATAGTTGCTTCTGAGTCTGTGTAGAAGAGGTTCAGGGATGGACAACAAGAATGATTAGAGGCATAGAAAAACATTTGTATGAAGAGAGAGTGAAAAGATTGGATCTGCTTACCTTTGAAAGGAGACAATGATAATGTATGGTAGAGAGAAGGTAGAGGCATATTCACCCTGTCCCATACTAGAAAAACAAAGGGACAATCAGTGAAATTGAAAGGTGGCAGATTTAAAGGAAAAGGAAATGGAAATATTAGTTTGCGCCATTAGCCTGGGGAATTCATTGCCCTAGAAGATATTGAGGCCAAGACCTTATCAGGATTCAAAAAGGAATTGGACATTTACATGGATGACAAAAATATCCAGAGTTATAATAGTAAAACACACCCAAGAGTTTGGGGAGGAATATAAATCCTCATGTTCCATGGCATAAGCTAACCTCTAACTCATGGAAGTAAAGAAGAAACTCTCCTTGGGGGCAGGTTATTTCATAACTGCCCACTGCAGGGTTTTGCACCATCTTTTGAAGCAGCAGTTGCTGACCACTCTTGGAGACAGAACACTGCACCAAATAGGCCACTGGTTTGATCCAGCATGATGGTTCCCCCTTATCTCAGATGTTTATTGTCCACAGAGGCACTCACCAAGGATTTCCATCGTCCCTCCTACTTTCAGGTTAGCCAAAGCGTCTTGACAGCTGCAGAATTACCAGGGGCACTAAGGGCTTGATCCTGAAAGGAAAAGTGGTCATTAGACTGCTTAGCCCTGAGAAGTACTTACTGGCCTGCTGAGTAGTCCTTCTCCAGACCCTGTTCTTCTGGAGGCAGTGCATCACCTTTACTCTGCCATAGAGCAGTAGTCTTGGTTTTCTATTAAAATTGTTACTGTACACCTACTTTTATATAGTGAGGATGGTTGCTGCCAACCCACTGTGTCTGAGCACCATAATATCTGCCCCCAGGCCTCCCTCCTTTCCCCCTTATCAGATCTTCAGGGGCACAAGTGCCTAGGAAATGTGGCATGGGAATCTGTCTACTATTCTCTGCATACCCTTGACATTACTGGCCTGTGAGGGGCAGATTTTCTAAGATAATTAGGTGCCTTTAAGAAGCAGACAGGCATCTAGTTGGATGTTCAAAGGCACTTAAGCAGGTTAGGTGCCGAACTCCTGCTAAGCAAATGGCAGTTAGGTGTCTAACCTACTCCCACTACATGGAATTTTCAAATACCTTTGAAAATCTGGCCCTGAGTGTCTATGCTTTTCCTCTCCATACTCCCCTTATCAGCACTACACACTCGGCAAGATCATCAACATCTAAGTTTGTCAATAGGGTGTCTAGGAATGTTATATACAGATGGCTCTACTGTCTGTAACTGAGCCAGAAAAGATGGTTCCTCATATTTTGGACCTAGGTAATTGCCTTGTATATTTCCAACTAAGAGTTACATTGGGATAAGGCTGAAATCATACCAATTTCTATAAATGTTTTAAAACATACATTTCAGACTAGAACTTCAGTGGGAACCTGAGGAACTGCTATAAAATAAAACAATGTAAAGGCCATAGTAAAAATGAAGCAGGACCCAGCAATAAATGGTGATAAAACTAGATCGTGGTAATTGGGAATGGACTAAATTCACCTTTGGGTGAGCATGGAAATATATTAATACCAATGAATTAATACCAATGAATACCACTGCTTAAACTTTTGTAGCTTTTTAGATCATTGCCCATAAACACTTTTAAAAATCAATGTTCAGAAACTAGTAAGATGTTGCAAAACTCTGTGGAGACAAGGTAAAAAGCCTGCAATAGGCTAGAAAAGTGATACCTTCCAGCAGATCCGGGAGATTTTAAATTCCCAAATTGCAAAAACAATTGCTGTTCCTTTACATTAAAGCATCCTTTATATTGAATGTTAAATAAAGAAGGATGCATGAAGATGGGTCAGTATTGAAGAGAATTGTGTCAGTTGCTTTCATTTGTACTAAACTTCTAGTCTTATTGCAATAAAAAAAAACACACACAGACACACACACACCAATCTTGTAACACACTGCTCTAGAAAAGCATGGCTAGAGTTGTCAAATAAATTGGACTTTGATCCATTGCTACAGGGGAAAAAAAAAAATCACATTCTGCAACAGCCTATCCTTTAAGATTGGAAACAGGAAAATTCATAGAAAAGGAAAATTTCCATGATTCAATTTTTTAAGAAGGATCTACACAATGCTAATAGAAAAACTAGTATTTGAAAAGAGAATCATTCATCCTAGTTTAGCTGAGCTGTACACACAAAGAACTTCACAATAAAAAAATCCGTATTTTTTTAAAATGCATCGGAGTCTTAGCCAAGGATAAACAAAAAGTTCTCTCTCCATATGGTAGCAGAGAGTAATAAGTATATAGATATATCTACTCAGTGGAAAAGGTTCAGAATACATGGAACAAAGACCTCAACCGTCATAGATAGCGAATTATGGAGTTTAAATGAAACCTCAAATCTTCAGTAACCACACAGCTGAGACTTCTACTGCAAAAAGCATTTTTAGAATTATCAGGACTCCATCGAGGTGGCTAAAGTAGAAATCAAAGCAAATGACATGTGCTGGAGATATAGTATGGTGAAGGCTAATCTAATGCATATGTTTTGGGAAAGTCCAGTTATCCATAAATTCTGCGATTAAGTACTTCAAAGGACAAATATGATCTTGAACAGGGGTATTTTTGTGGCTACTTAAATGTTTCTGTTAGAGGATATAAGTGATATACCTACTAGTAAACCACACAGGGACAATTTCTGTTTGAAAGCTGGTTTAATAGCTCAGAAGACTGATCCTTTGAAAATGGAAAACCTCTCCAGTAAGGTTTAAACATTGTAAAACTGGTGTAGAAGACTAAATGAACTAGCAAATTTAGGGACAGATCCAAAACCGATTGAGGTTGTAGTGGAAAAATTTCCATTGACTTCACTAGGTTTCAGATAGGGCCCTTACAGAGTATCATTCATTTAAATGAACAGAAGGATAAATGTAAGGAAATGTGGTTGTTTCTTGACAATTTATCAATATTCTGTTGTAATTTTCATGTACTATGTGTGGAGTGATGGCAGGGAGTTAGTGTATGAACATGTAGAGCTTATTCTTGTGTTCTGGAAATAAAACTATTAAAACAGACAAAAAGAAGCAGAAGTAGATTAAGTTTTAACCAGATGACGGTATTGGCTCAGGCCATGCCTTAGGAAGCTGCATGTGGCTCTTCCCCTGCCCATATGTGTTGGGGCAAAGCTGTCCCAGATGCTGCAGAGAGCCTTGCATAGCTGGAGTGGGGAAGGGACATTATGTGGTCCCCAGTCCTGCACCAACCCATATGGGGAATCTGCAAGCTCTGTTAACTTTCCTGCCATGAGCCTCTGTAGTACTGTCCAATACCCCCATGAGGTGAGGGGGCATGTTTCATCAGCAGATGACAGCTGGAGGAGCCCCTGGAGAACTGGTTCAGTTGAAGCCATGCAGTACAGTGAAGATGGACCAGGTCTCTCTGTATGATAATCTGTCCTGGCTTCTAGCAGACCCCTGAGATCCCTAGGTGTTGGGGGCCAAACTCTGTACATCTTTTGCAAACCTGTAGCTGAGCATTTTCAATAATACTTTGTGCCTTTGCATAATAGATGGAACAGTAGCCCTTAGAAGAGTGATCCTCCAGTCATTCCTTCACTACATTCTCTCATACTTGCAAAGATTATATTGCTTGTAAAATATTTACAAATTATGTGCCAGATGTACATTGCTACTTTTGACTTGAATTAAAGTGAACATTGGCCATTTTAGAAACATTAAATGTTATGCTCAAATAAATTGGTTAGTCTCTAAGGTGCCACTAGTACTCCTTTTCTTTTTAGATATTAATATGTCTTTCTGAAAGGCACAGAAATAAGATTGTCAGTGTTTCATCATGCCCCACCATAACATGCGTATTTATCTTAATTAAATGTTTCACTTTAGAGCATTTGTGATACAGGACTCTCTTCTGCTACTGGAAACTCTTCAATGGTGGCACCACTAGGTGCCACTGTAAGCACTGATTTTTGGGGAGCATTGAGAAAGCTGGCCCTGGAATAAGGGAATGAAAACCTGAGTGGAGACCTTCAGGATTTGTTCTTCAGTATATTTAGCATAGTAGTGCAATCAGTCTTGATTTGTTGCAATGATTTACAAATCTTTTATCCATAGAAATGAACAATTCTGAATTACTGTCATTAATAAATCCTACTTTATAATAGATTTTAAGATGAATGTGGAACTAGTTCTGTATTGGTAATAATCCCATAGATTAACTGTAGTGTTCTCTCTTTTTAAATGTCTGCTTAGAGAATTAAAATGGATGTAAAAAGGAACCCTTAAGGCAAATAACCTGAAATTGTTTCATTCTTGAATACCATTTATTTTTCATGCCATGCTGTTCTGTGATTTTACATCAATCTTCAGGTTTTGTATTGATTAGCTATATTGATTTGCATTATCTTTGACTTTATTTTTCCTCCCAACAGAATTTTGAATTGTACCTTCTGAGCAAAGGTTGGCTCAAGGATTCCCCACCCCCAGTCTCTTATCTTTTTCAGCATATTTTTTTCCAGTTCCTGTTTAACCACAAGTAGTAGTTGTCTCTAATGCTAATTGTCACCTCTTGGGGGCAATAGATCATTGTATTCTAGAAAGCTCCATTGACTTGTGTAGAGTTGATCTGCTGGACTTTTTTTAGTAACAGCTTGTCGCTTTTGCTGAGGTATGAACCTTGTCTGGAAGGTTAAACTAATGAGACTCCAAAACTTATTGTAATTTTCAACTTTGATTTTTTAAAAATAATGTATTTGGAAGCATAAAGTTTTGAACTGTGGCCTTTGGAGCTCTATGGAAAGTGCCTAGTGTGGTTAGCTATTTGGAAAGCCATTTTCAAACACTGTTGAAGGCTGGACCACCACTGATGAGACAGAAGCTTGTACTCTAGAAAGAACAAGAAATCTAATAGGTGAAAAGGTTCTGGAACAGTGATGTGCAGTGAAAAAGATGCTTACTGAGCCAAATGCTATTTAAAAAACCCAAACACACAAAAAAAAAAACCAAAGGTGAAGGAGACAAGTATCAGGGGGTAGCTGTGTTAGTCTGTATCCACAAAAAACAACAAGGAGTCTGGTGGCACCTTAAAAACGAACAGATTTATTTGGGCATAAGCTTTCGTGGGTAAAAAACCACTTCTTCAGATGCATGGAGTGAAAATTACAGATGCATGTATTAACATACAAAAGCCAGTAGGAGAACACTTCAATCTTCCTGGACATTCTATAACAGATTTAAAAGTAGTTATACTTGAACAAAAAAACTTCAGAAATGGACTTCAAAGAGAAACAGCAGAACTAAAATTCATTTGCAAATTTAACACCATTAATTTGGGCTTGAATAGGGACTGGGCGTGGCTGGCTCATCACAAAAGCAGCTTTGCCTCTCCTGGAATTGACACCTCCTCATCTATTATTGGGAATGGACTACATCCACCCGGATCGAATTGGCCCTGTCAACGCTGGTTCTCCACTTGTGAGGTAACTCCCTTCTCTTCATGTGTCATTATATAATGCCTACATCTGTAATTTTCACTCCATGCATCTGAAGAAGTGGTTTTTTACCCACGAAAGCTTATGCCCAAATAAATCTGTTAGTCTTTAAGGTGCCAAAGGTGAAGGAGAGAGTAGAAGGAAAAGCCAATTTTTCCTATTGAAAACAAAAAAGGTCTGATTAACATCTATATTCTTGATTAATAACAAGATCTGCTGTCCTCAGTAGGACAGAGAAGAAATACAATTCTGGCACTGGATGGCCTTCATTTTCAGAAGCTTTTGGTGCATGTGGTACAGATGAATGCAATGCCAATATCCTGAGGCGTCCAGATACCTCATTGGGATCAACCAGCACAGAAGTCATTTGCAAACAGGTACATTTATCTTGAAGGTGGTACGGAAGGACTTTATGGTGTTTTCTTCTTCCCTCATCTTTCTTTCATTGTCTGCATAGTTTGCCATAGAATAATATCTAGAGATTGGTCCCTTTTCGCCTTGGAATCTATCACTGTGATCATCTAGTCTGACCTCCTTCATAACACAGGCCATAGAACTTCACCAGTGTAATTCTTAGAGAATATCTTTAGGAAAACACCCAGTCTTGGATTTAAAAATTGTCAGTGGTGGAGAATCGACTATAAACCTTAGTAAATTGTTCCAATGGTTAGTAACCCTTACTGTCAAAAATGTACACTTTATTTACAGTCTGAATTGTCTAGCTTCAACTACCAGCCACTGGATTATTATACCTTTCTGTACTAGATTGAAGAACCCATTATTAAATATATGTTCCCCATAAAATACTTATAGACTGTATTCAAGTCATCCCTTAGCAGCCTTTGTTAAACTAAATAGATTGAGCTCTTTGAGTCTTTCACTATAAGGAATGTTTTCTAACCCTTTAATCATTCTTGTGGCTCTCTGAACTCTCTCCAATTTATCAATCTCCTTCTTAAATTGTGGGCACCAGAACTGGACAACGTATTCTAGCAATGAGTGCATCAGTGCCAAATACAGAGGTAAAATAACCTCTCTACTCCTACTCAAAATTCCCCCGTTTGTGCATTCCAGGATCAAATTAGTTCTCTTGGTCACAACATCACATTGGGAGCTCATGTTTAGCCGATTATCCGCCTCGACCCCCAAGGGTAAAACTTTCAAAATGTCTAAGTGACTTTGGCGTCTAAGCCCCATTGAAAGTAAATGGGACTTAAATTTCTAAGTCACTCAGGTGCTTTTGAAAATGTTATTTGGTGTGTGAATTTATATAAAGTCTTTGTGGATATGTTTTGTTTGCATCCATGCAGTTAGCAAATTAGTCTGTCCGGAAGTATTATGATACCACTGAAAAATTTTATTTCTCATCCCTTGGGATTCAGATATGTGAGTCAAGATCAAAGCAGTATCAGCTATAAAAATCCATTTTTGTTTGAGGGAACAATCTGGCAGATAAGATGAGCATCTTTTTAAGTACACTCAGGTTGGAATTTAGGAACAAAATCTATTACCAATTCACTAGAGATTATTTCATGTGACCAACTGTTACAAACATGTCTGTGGTGTTTGGCCACACTTTGTAGGACCTGATGCCTCAGAGTGTACCAGAGGAGTGAAGATAGGATTGACAAAGTATTCCATAGAGGTTAGCAAGAATTTTGTGTGCATAAGACCTGCAGAACCAGGTCATATCTTGCCTGCAGCAGGGCCAGGTTCTGTAGTGAGTACATCTTATTGTGTATTACTGCTAACCTGGAAAGACTGGGATCTCTTAGAACAACTCATAACCTCACATTCCTTTGGATGTCTTTACAGCTTGTGAACTTGCTGTTAGCTTTGTGCTGATCCCACTCCTCATGCTGTGAGTGTAGAAAATCTTTTCTTAAAGAAATGTCTGAGTAGCCTGTAGGGTTTTTTTCCCCCTGAGTTGTCACTCTTAACTAAGTTGTGGAATAGTACTGCACTGCAGAACATGGAGTCCTGTCTGATATTCTACCTTGAAGAGATTTGTGTTCACTTAACTAATCATTGTTTTTCTGTTGCAGTGTGATGTTGGTCATGTGTTTGATGATGGTCCCAGACCTTCTGGACAAAAGGTTCTGTATCAACAGTGTTTCGTTAACGTAAGAACGGCCTTACTGGGTCAGACCAAAGGTCCATCCAGCCCAGTATCCTGTCTGCTGACAGTGGCCAATGCCAGGTGCCCCAGAGGGAGTGAACCTAACAGATAATGATCAAGTGATCGCTCTCCTGCCATCCATCTCCACCCTCTGACAAACAGAGGCTGGGGACACCATTCCTTAACCATCCTGGCTAATAGCCATTAATGGATTTAACCTCCATTAATTTATTTAGTTCTCTTTTAAACCCTGTTATAGTCCTAGCCTTCACAACTTCCTCAGGCAAGGAGTTCCACAGGTTGACTGTATGCTGTGTGAAGAACTTCCTTTTATTTGTTTTAAACCTCCTGCCCATTAATTTCATTTGGTGGCCCCTAGTTCTTATATTATGGGAACAAGTAAATAACTTTTCCTTACTCACTTACTCCACACCACTCATGATTTTATATACCTCTATCATATCCCCCCTTAGTCTCCTCTTTTCCAAGATGAAAAGTCCTAGCCTTTTTAATCTCTCCTCATATGGGACCTGTTCCAAACCCCTAATCATTTTAGTTGCACTTCTCTGAACCTTTTCTAATGCCAGTATACCTTTTTTGAGATGAGGAGACCACATCTGTATTCAGTATTCAAGATGTGGGCTTACCATGGATTTATATAAGGGCAACAAGATATTCTCAGTCTTATTCTCTATCCCTTTAAACCAAGCTTAGACTAGTAAGAGAAGGATCTTTTGTAGCTTTCACAATACTTCACTTTAGTACCAAACATGAATTCACTACCAGATCCTTTGTGCTGCTGGAGTTTTGCTTTTTTGCTGTTGAGAAAATGTTGGTAAAAATATATTTATTGTAATTTCTAGCCTAATATTTGTGTTCATTTGAATTTGGTTTTAAGAATGTGTACAATGTATTAGTTTTGACTATAATGTTTAAGTTTCTATGAAATAATGCAAAATGTTTATGGAATTGAACATTGATGTGTTCCTCGATCTTGTAGATGTTGAAATAAAATGTTCCTCAGAATGATTGCCTTGTACTTAACTTAAACTTCTACATTAACTTTGAAAAGTAAATCCAAGTCATAGTGGCCTGTAAGTTTCAGTGTTAAAATGTTTGCTTTTATGTTGGGCTCATCAAGTACTGATTAAAAAGCAAATAATGCACATCTGCAAATTCGTATTTTTCCAGGTCTGAGAGACATTTCATTGAAGCAGCGACTTGTGAGAGCAACTGACCTCAGAAATTCAAAGCTCTGCAGTGGGGCAATGTAAGTCCAAAGTATTAACACTTTCTCCCAGCCCCAGTCTGAGACAACAGAATCAAAGGGGGCTTTGAATTGCTGCAATTCCCACCGAGATTCAATTCTGACAAATTTATTCTTCTTCCAGAACTGAATTGGGTTGGGATTGCAAGTGGAGACCTCACAAGGGTATGCTCCCCATTTTAGCTTGAATGAGGTGTGAGGGTCGTTAATCTTACCACTATCACCCCAGCAGTATTTAGGGATAAGTAAAGTATTTAAAGACCACTGATTTTGTCTCTTACTTCTCCCACCTTCCAAATGAGATCTTAGCTTGTTTAGCTAAAGGATGTCATATCCTGGATGCCATCAGAAAGTAACTCTAGACTTTGAGACTCTTATTACAAGGTTAGCAGATCTACTCACTTGGTGCATTGCCTTGCATGACCAGTATGTATGATAACCCTTGTGTTCCCCGATTTCTTCCAGCAGACCAGACCTACCCCCAAGGAAGCTAGATTTCACCACTTCTTGAGATCCATTTCCAGAAACCTATTTTCAGAGCATGGTTACCTTAGCCCTCGGCTCTTCCAGCAACGCGAGAGGAAGGCCTTTTCACACTACAGCGAACAGTGCAGAAGTAAACATAATTCAAAAATGGGATGAAATTATTTTTTGGAATTTCATTTAGATTGTCGTCGTTTCAGTGAAGAAGCCTTCCGATTGGGAAGACCTGTAACTAGACAGCCAGGGCACACTTTGTTCTTGCCCAATAGCTTCTTTGTGCTGGCTGTGCTACGTCAAAACAAAGGAGCCGTACCGTAGGTTCAAATTCCTTAAACTCCCAGTGAATCTCAGCCGGCACAGGGAACCTGTTTTGTAGGCACCAGTCTGTCTCTGTACTCTTCAGCCCTCACCCCTGCCCTCAGGAGCCCCCAGCACTGAGAGGGCAGGAGGATGGCTGGCTGGGACAGCCTCTAAATCGGGAAGACACAAGCCACTTCCATTGTGTCCCTGACACGAGTGGTACTATTGGCACAGAGTGGAACTCAGCTCCTAGACGCCAGTTATGTTTGTAAATGTAAGGGGACTGTTGCCCCCTTACTAACACTCAGTGCGGGTGTTTTAGTTGCTAGCTCCAAGTACTAAAAAGGGGGAAGGGTCGATGGGGAATCAGGACCCTGAGACTGACAGCCCTCAGGAACAATGGGGAGAGGCCAATGCTCCAGGTCAGCCTGAATGACAGGGCAGGCAGGCTAATCAGGGAGTCAGGAGGCCAGGGAGGTCCCATCCTCCGTGTGAGCTGGATTTGCCTGGGTCAGACAGAGTGGGGCCGAGCTGAGGAGAAAGCAGGGGCCCAAGCTAAGCTGGGGAGCAGAGCTGTGCCAGATCCAGAGGGACCAGAAAAGCAGCCCAGAGAGAGCAGACCCTGTCCTGGGAGAGAGCTGCAGCAACCAGAGCCAGAGGGGCCAGAAAAGCAGCCCAGAGAGAGAAGACCCTGTCCTGGGAGCAGAGCTGCAGCCCCAAAGCCAGAGGTACAGACCAGTAGAGCAGACTTGCCCTGGGAGAGAGCTGCAGCAACCAGAGCCAGAGGGGCCAGAAAAGCAGCCCACGAAGCAGGTCAGCGCTGGGAGAAGTCACAGAAGCAGCCTGCAGAACAGACCTGTCCTGGGAGCAGAGCTGCAGCAACCAAGTATCCGAGTATACTGGTATACTTACCAGTATACTTACCAGTATACTGGTAAGTATCCGAGTGTGTGTGTGTTCGCTTGCTGAGGAAGTATCCGAGCGTGTGTTTGCTGGGGGGGGCAGTGTGAGAGCCTGAGTGAGTGTCTGATTGGCTGCTAGCCTGCAGGGGCGGGCAGTAGGGTGTCTGTTTGTTTGCGACAGGGAAGCCTGGCTGTTTAAAAATAGCCAGAGCTTCGCGAACCAGCTGAGCGGCGGAGAACCAGCTGAGCAGCGGGGACAGCAGAGCAGCTCACAGCAGGAGTTTGCCTGGGAGTTCGCCTGGAGTGAGCCCAGTGAGGCATACGTCTTGCAAACTGCTCTGAGGAAGCTCATAGTAGGAAGGTGATATGGAAGGGGGGGTTCAGCTGTTGTGACCTGCACTGGATGTGCCATGTTTGTCTTTCTTCCACAGGACAGAAGCGACTTTGTCTGTACAAAGTGCAAGCTGGTCTCCATATTGCAAGAGAAGATTGAAGGTCTGGAGCAACAGATAACGACCCTGCGTTGCATACGGGAAACTGAGGATTTTCTGGACAAAACTCAGGATAGGCTTCTAGGGGCACAAAGCTCTACAGATACAGAGCAGGTTGCACAGAGGAGCCAAGAGGCCAGTGAAGAAGCTTGGCAACATGTGACCTCCAGAAGAGGTAAGTGGAATGTCCGGGTTCCAGTAACACAGACACAGGTAACTAACCGCTTTCATGTTCTCTCCACAGGTATCGTTGCGGAGAGCGGACCAGATGATATGTCTGGGGCGAGAAAGCAGAAGGAGACTCCGCTGGTTGGAAGGCATGAGATGCGCTGTCCTGAGGTTGGGAGTTCCACGACCACCACTCCCAAGAGGAGAAGGCGGGTGGTGGTGGTCGGGGACTCGCTCCTCCGGGGGACTGAGTCATCTATCTGCCGCCCTGACCGGGAAAACCGAGAAGTCTGCTGCTTGCCGGGGGCTAAGATTCGCGATGTGACGGAGAGACTGCCGAGACTCATCAAGCCCTCGGATCGCTACCCCTTCCTGCTTCTCCACGTGGGCACCAATGATACTGCCAAGAATGACCTTGAGCGGATCACTGCGGACTATGTGGCTCTAGGAAGAAGGATAAAGGAGTTGGAGGTGCAAGTGGTGTTCTCGTCCATCCTCCCCGTGGAAGGAAAAGGCCTAGGTAGGGAGCGTCGAATCGTGGAAGTCAACGAATGGCTACGCAGGTGGTGTCGGAGAGAAGGCTTTGGATTCTTCGACCATGGGATGGTGTTCCAAGAAGGAGTGCTAGGCAGAGACGGGCTCCACTTAACGAAGAGAGGGAAGAGCATCTTCGCGAGCAGGCTGGCTAACCTAGTGAGGAGGGCTTTAAACTAGGTTCACCGGGGGAAGGAGACCAAAGCCCTGAGGTAAGTGGGAAGCGGGATACCGGGAGGAAGCACAGGCAGGAATGTCTGTGAGGGGAGGGCTCCTGCCTCATACTGAGAATGAGGGGCGATCAGCAGGTTATCTCAAGTGCTTATATACGAATGCACAAAGCCTTGGAAACAAGCAGGGAGAACTGGAGGTCCTGGTGATGTCAAGGAATTATGATGTGATTGGAATAACAGAGACTTGGTGGGATAACTCACATGACTGGAGTACTGTCATGGATGGTTATAAACTGTTCAGGAAGGACAGGCAGGGCAGAAAAGGTGGGGGAGTAGCACTGTATGTAAGGGAGCAGTATGACTGCTCAGAGCTCCGGTACGAAACTGCAGAAAAACCTGAGTGTCTCTGGATTAAGTTTAGAAGTGTGTGCAACAAGAGTGATGTAGTGGTGGGAGTCTGCTATAGACCACCGGACCAGGGGGATGAGGTAGATGAGGCTTTCTTCCGGCAGCTCACGGAAGCTACTGGATCGCATGCCCTGATTCTCATGGGTGACTTTAATTTTCCTGATATCTGCTGGGAGAGCAATACAGCGGTGCATAGACAATCCAGGAAGTTTTTGGAAAGCGTAGGGGACAATTTCCTGGCGCAAGTGCTCGAGGAGCCAACTAGGGAGGCGCTTTTCTTGACCTGCTGCTCACAAACCGGGTAGAATTAGTGGGGGAAGCAAAAGTGGATGGGAATCTGGGGGGCAGTGACCATGAGTTGGTTGAGTTCAGGATCCTGACACAGGGAAGAAAGGTAAGCAGCACGATACGGACCCTGGACTTCAGGAAAGCAGACTTCGACTCCCTCAGGGAACGGATGGCCAGGATCCCCTGGGGGACTAACTTGAAGGGGAAAGGAGTCCAGGAGAGCTGGCTGTATTTCAAGGAATCCCTGTTGAGGTTACAGGGACAAACCATCCCGATGAGTCGAAAGAATAGTAAATATGGCAGGCGACCAGCTTGGCTTAATGGTGAAATCTTAGCGGATCTTAAACATAAAAAAGAAGCTTACAAGAAGTGGAAGGTTGGACATCTGACCAGGGAAGAGTATAAAAATATTGCTAGGGCATGTAGGAATGTTATCAGGAGGGCCAAATCGCACCTGGAGCTGCAGCTAGCCAGAGATGTCAAGAGTAACAAGAAGGGTTTCTTCAGGTATGTTGGCAACAAGAAGAAAGCCAAGGAATGTGTGGGCCCCTTACTGAATGAGGGAGGCAAACTAGTGACAGAGGATGTGGAAAAAGCTAATGTACTCAATGCTTTTTTTGCCTCTGTTTTCACTAACAAGGTCAGCTCCCAGACTGCTACGCTGGGCATCACAAAATGGGGAAGAGATGGCCAGCCCTCTGTGGAGATAGAGGTGGTTAGGGACTTTTTAGAAAAGCTGGACGTGCACAAGTCCATGGGGCCGGACGAGTTGCACCCGAGAGTGCTGAAGGAACTGGCGGCTGTGATTGCAGAGCCATTGGCCATTATCTTTGAAAACTCGTGGCGAACCGGGAAGTCCCGGATGACTGGAAAAAGGCTAATGTAGTGCCAATCTTTAAAAAAGGGAAGAAGGAG